CTGACACGTGGTGCTGGGGGATTGAACCGCGGTCCCTGTGCTTTGCTAAGCTTGTTCTAAGTAGGTGCTTTAGACCACTGAGCCATCTCACCAGCCCCAATACACTTTTTAAGTATGTCTTTCTTGTAACCCCTCTGTGAGACACCAAGGGACAGCATGGGGTGGTGGAAGAAACTGCTAACTTCCAGTTCTAAAAGAATTTCAAGGGCTGGAAGCTCAGTGACAGAATACTGGCCTGGCACATGCTGAGGCCTCGAGTCTCATCCCTGACACTGTAATTAGTAAATAAGAATTTTTTTTTTTTTTTGGCAGAACCAGGGATTGAACTCAGGCCCTTGCACTTGCCAGGGAAGCGCTTATTCCACTGAACCATCTCCCCAGCCCCGTAAATAATCTTAAAGCAATACTTTCCAGGAAATATTTTAGCAAAGCCTATTTTCATAATGGGGCTATTCCTCCTACCCTATATACTCGGTGGTCTCCAAGACTGTTCCTTTTTTTTTTCCTTCAGTACCAGGAATCAAACTCAGGACCTTGTGCTTGCCAGGCAGGCACTTGTGTCCCTGAACTAGCTTCCCGGCACTTGTAGACTATGTCTTGGTGTAGGAAGAAAGCTTATGATGTCCTTCTGGGACAAAGGAAAGTTCCCTCTTCATTTGTCTTGCCGGGAGACAATGGTTAGCTCTGTACTGCCATCAATTTTATTTTTTTATTTTTATTTTTTTTGTGGAACCAGGGATTGAACTCAGGTCCTTGCTCTTGCCAGGCAAGTGCTTATTCTACTGAGCTATCTCCCTGGCCCCATGGCATCAATTTTAGGAAGACTTGTTCCATTTGATATTTTTCTTTTTTTGTACTAGTATAGCTTTTTTTTTTTTTTTTTTTTTGCGGAACCGGGGATTGAACTCAGGCCCTTGTGCTTGCCAGGCAAGCACTTATTCTACTGAGCCATCTCCCCGGCCCCTGCACTAGTATATCTTTGTAGTAGAAAATGTGTACATTCGTGAGTGGAATTGGTATGGGAGCTCAACACATTTTATTTTTTATTTTTTAATTTTTTTCCATAATTTTATTGACAGACAAATAGCAATGAGACAGTTTCAAATCAAATTGGTAGGACAGTTTCAATAATTAACACATTGCATACTGTCTTCCTAGTGGTTCAACACATTTTAATTCCTTCCTTTTCCTGGTTTCTCATATAAGAGAAGCCATTTGATCAATACCTCTTCTGTCCTGGCAATTTATTTGATCCTGGCAATTTATTTGATTTCAGTGACAGGGTTCTGCCCTCCAGCCACTGACCTTTTCTTTCTTTCTTTTTTTTTATATTTTAGGGAAGGATCTACAGGGTGTTCAGGGTCTCACTACTAGATCGGACTTGTAGTCATCTTCCTGTTTAGGACCTCCCAAGAGCTGGAATTACAGGCATGTGCCACCAGACCATCTCAGCATACCCTGGGGGTGGGGCTGGCATGGCAGGCCCAGGTGGCACGGCAGGCACAGGGATCGAACCCCCGGGCCCTGTGGCTGCCTGCCTTTGCTTTAATCCACTGAGCTATTTGGCCAGCCCTTACAGTGAGTTTTCTGGACATCCCTTATGCCACAAAGCCTCCCCACTCATCTTTAATGACAGAGTGATAGGATTCCTGCACACTAAAGAAACTGCATGGAGGTGTACAGCAGTTATTCAAGTCAACTGTGAATCCAATTATAGCTTTTTTTTTTTTTTTTGGCGGAACCGGAAATTGAACTCAGGCCCTCACGCTTGCCAGGGAAGCGCTTATTCCACTGAGCCATCTCCCAGGCCCCCAATATAGCTATTACTGTTCTCAGATATTGCCCCATGATAGTATCATCGTCATTTATTTGTTTTTATTAATTTTATTGAGAAAGAAAAAGCAATGAGACAGTTTCAAAATAGATTAGTAGGACAGTTACAATAATTAATACATTGCATATTGTTGTCTTTGTAGTAGTTATTCGTAGTACAAGATGCGGACATGATATCTTGTCCAAGCACTATTAGTACAAATCTTTCTTCTCACTGAATTAAGAGAAAGTAGCTGTATATCTATCCTAACTATTTTGTATATACAGATACAAAATATATATTTTGTATATACAGATACGAAATTCATTTATATCCCCTTTTTTTTAAAAAAAAAAAAAGCTAAGAAAGTTTTTCAATAAACTGGAAAAAATAATAAAAGTAGAAAATGTCTATGAAAAATAAATAAATATTGTAGGTGTGTGAGTTCAGCAAAATAATCCTTATCATAGAAGATGAGCTGGGACTGGGGAGATGGCTTAGTAGAATAAGTGCTTCCCTGACAAGTGCAAGGGCCTGCGTTCAATCCCTGGTTCCGCAAAGAAAAAAAAAAAAAAAAAGACGAGTTGATTGCTCTTCCAATGTCCTTCTGGTTTTCCAACAGACTTGCATTGCCTGCGGGCTTCTGGATATTCTAGATCCTTCGCTTGTTAAAAAAACAATCAGAAGACAGTCCGCCTGCTGTTTGCCTAGCGTGTGGGAAGAGAGCACTCTGCCATATGGGTTCTTTAGCTCCCACCTAGATGGCCCCAGCCACACACACACACACACACACACACACACACAAACACACACACAGAGTGGTTCCTTTGGTTGTACACACTGGGGTGGGTCCTTTTTTTGTTGTTTTTTGGTGGAACCAGGGATTGAACTCAGGTCCTTGTGCTTGCCAGGGAAGTGCTTATTCAACTGAGCCATCTCCCCGGCCCCAGGGGTGAGTCCTTTGATTGAAAATGACATTCTAAATTTTTTTCTTCATTGCACTTTTTATTGCCCAGATAAAAAATTAATTTGGGATCTTTCTATTTACTATGAAGGGATCTATAATTTTTCTCCCAGGTTGTCCATGATAAACAGTGTCTAGAGTAACGACTAATGCATGTTCCTATCGGTGACAGTGGCATAATTAATGCTTTCCATCAGCAGTGTTGACCTTTTATAGATTGAATAAAAACTCTGTCTAAACATGAGGGGTGGGGCTGGGGAGATGGCTCAGTAGAAGAAGCGCTTGCCTTATGGTATCCTTATCCAGGACAGGCCTTAGTGACACCCCTCACGTTTATTTATTTATTTATTTATTTTTGCGGAACCTGGGATTGAACTCAGGCCCTTGAGCTTGGCAGGGATGAGCTTATTCTACCGAGCCATATCCCCAGCCCCTTTGTCATTTCTTTAAATGAGACATTAATACTTTTATTTAGGATGGTTTATCAGATCACGTAAGAGTTCATTTTGGTCAAAGGAAAGGAATCTTTGATTTCTGCAAATCTGAGAGAAAGAAGATTCTGACCAATTGGGAGACAGGTACCCAAAAAAGGCGCGCAGCAAACCAAGATGTACTTTACTGTTGACTGGTGCCTTAGGAGAAGCGGGGTTTGGGAGAGATGCCTGTGCATTACTATAGGGCAGGAAGGGGCAGAAAGGACACTGAAGCTGTGTGTGTCAGGTAGGTTGCTCCATCCCCATGGGCGTGCAGAGCGCGTGGGGCCATGCCACCTGGCAAGGGCAGGGCGCGGAGCCAAGACGCCTGCAGGCTGGGGTTAATCGCACTTGGTAACGCTGAGCAGGCGTCTTGGCTCGCCTTCCAGCTGCGCTCTCAATCTGTGGAAAGTGACCTAGCGCCTAGCAGAGATAGACGCGGGGACGTGTTGAAAAGGACCCCCGGGGGTCAGGCGAGTCACGCCGTGGCAGCCACCGTCAGCCGGGCTGCGACGGAGTTTTTTCCGTGTTCTAGGCGGTCTCCGCCCGCTCTTCTCGAGTACACTCAGGGCTTCAGGAGCAAGAGCTCTCAAGGTGCGGATGCTTTCTGGAGGAGCTAAGGCTGAACTCCAGGCAAGATCAAGGCCCGAAGCGGGGAGAGCGTTCCTTGCTCTATCGGGCGCTACCAGGAAACAACCTGCGGCAGCCTCACACCCGCAGAACGGAAGCAGTGCAGGACGGAGAGGCAGCTGCGTCGCAAACCAGTGCAGAGACCTAAATGTGGCTTATGCTTGAACCATTTGAAATTAAAAATAATGTGTGTGTGTGTGTGTGTGTGTGTGTGTGTGTGTGTGTTTCCATACACACTGTGGTGTACGCTATGTAGTGCTAGTATTTACTGATTCTACAGTGGTCGTAGGGAAATCCTAACTGTGGCACAATACTGGGGCATCTTCTGATAAGTACTGTCTGCAAACCAGGTGGTTTTTTTTTTTTTTTTTTTTTTTATGCTAGGGGGATAAGCTTTAGAAAAAGAACACGTGAGAGATAAAAGAGTGTAGGAGGGACGGTCTAGCATCCTAAAGAAAGGAAAAGGAAGAGCACCACTGAAACAGTCTCTGCCTGTGAAACAGGACCAAGCAAGAGAGACGCCGCCAGCCAGCTGCTCGGCTTCGGCGGGCGGCATGGTTCGGAATCTGCGCATCCGTGATGATGTGCCGCAGGCCCAGCAAGGTGTGCCTCGGGATAGAGCCACGACCAAATCTGAGCCTCAAGCTGATGAAGTACACTCTCGGGCATTTTTGTAATTAGTTTATGTTTATTAAATGATTCCAAAGTGTAGTTAAGCTCTAGGACGTTTGCTCTCTCCCAAATCTCGCTTAAGAACTCAGGTTAGGTGCTCCTCGTGCCGCACGCGAAGCCCACGTGTCTGCCCACACAGCGATGAGTCAGCTGCTGCTCTTCCTCCCTGGAGAAAGAAGAGGCAGCAAATACAACTAACCCGGGAAGAGAGGAAAAGCCTGCATTGTCCTCAGCAAAGGTTTCACTGCTGACCTCTGTTGGAGTCGAATATAAACTGCTTCTTCCCGGTAAAGCTCAACTTTCAAGTTCAATTACATTTAGTTCGATAGACTAGTGACAGGACACCTATTGTGGACTTAGATTGGCCTCTGTGGAAAACAAAATAATATGAGCAACCTTCCTTATTCCAGAAGAGGTCAACGTAAATAAGAAAACAATAAGATGTTTGAACGAGCAAAGAATTCCTTGGCAGTGAAATGCAAGGAAATTCAGAGAATAGTGGTGCTATCTTTATGAGAAAATTCCGGAAGGAGCTTGGTATTTAGAGCTCAGGCTGTCTGACCAAACAATGGAGGAGATGGAGACAGCAGGAGGACCTGATTAGGACTATTAAAAAAAAAAAACAACAACAACCTTTTAGAAACCTACTTGGTAAAGGTAATCAATAGGCATGAATCCCTGCCAGAATGAATTCCTCCAGGACTACACGATGTCTTAGGCCTTTTGGTGCCCATGCATTTGACAGATCTGGGTACTAAGTGACACAGACAGGACCCCTGCCTTCAGGCAGTGTGGTGTGTAATCTAGTGGCAGAGACCAGTGAGTAAACACAGGATGCTGCAGAAACAGTAAAATTGAAGAGGGCAACGCTGGTTCTTACCAAGTGCCAGGGCTTAGGGACAGACCTCTTTGGCTGCAAAAGGGAGAAGAAAAATCTTCACATTTTTACTCTAATTTATTTTTTTAATATTAAAAGTTCAACTAAGTAGACTGGAACTAGGACACACACATGAACACGCGTGCATGCACACACACACACACACACACACACAAGCACCTCACACATTTACAAATCAGGATGTCTGCAAAGATGATTTGTCTCCACAAAGTTAATGAGCACACCAGCCAGCAAGCCCTGGTCCATGACAGTACTGTTTTCCACATCACACACCGACTCAAAGTGGGATTTGCTTGGCTCACTAGGAAAGAGGGAGGAGACTGATGGGTGGAAGGCGCAGCCCCTGAAGCTTCACACTCGGGGCCAGAGGGCTTGGTATTTCAGAGCACCTTTAATTTACTTGGTGCTTCAAGTAGGAAGTTATACTTTCTACAATCAGAGAAAAGTCGGCTTTTGCAAAAATACTATAACGCTCATCTTTGCCCCAAACCTGCTTCTCCCATGGGTGTTACCATTGCTGATTCTCTATTGTCCAGTTGTTCAAGTCTGAAATTTGGAGGTGATCTCACCCACTTAGCACCCAATAGATCTGCAGCCAGTCCACCTGCTGGACAAGGTCCAACGCTTCTTGCACTTCCTTTGCTACCACCCTGGTCCACCCCTTCCTTCTCCTGCTTACTTAAAACTTCGTTGTTTTGTCTCATTTTTTTTCCCTGTTTCTCTGCAGTTCATTCGCAGTGGTCATGATGCTCTTAAAACATAAGTCTATTAGCAATAGGTCCTTGCAATTCTCCGGGGGCTCTAACTCTCACTTAAAGGCCCAGCTTCTCAAAATGGCTTGTTGACCCTACCCCCAGCGGCTTAGCTGGTCCTGTTCCATCTGCCTCCTCTCCCTACCTCTGTGACCTCATGTTTGACCTTTCTGCCTTGCTCAGTCCTCTTGGGCTGCACTGGCCCGCTCCATCTCCCTGGCACACATCAGGCACACTCCTGCCTCAAAGGCTGCTTTGCTTGCAGGCTCAGGTATCTCCACGGCTTTCTCTTATTATCTGTCCTTGGGTTAAGCACTTAAGCACTACCCTCTTTTTTTTTTTTTTTTTTTTTTGGTGGAGCCGGTGATTGAACTCAGGCCCTTGCGCTTGTCAGGCAAGCACTTATTCTACTGAGCCACCTTCCTGGTCTAGCACTACCCTCATAATGAGCCCCTTTGGATAATGTCTACAGGTGACTTCTACCTCCCCAACTAACCCTGTTAGATCCTGTCCCTTCCTGGAGCCCTTAGCCCTTATTACTATCTACCATCAATACTGTGCATTTTCCTCGTTTACTTTGCTTGCTCTCTGACTCCCTCGTTGGACTGTTCATACTCAAGAGAGCAATGATTTATTTTCCAGCTGTGTCATATTGGTACCTGACATTCTATGAAACTGAAGTTATCTGTCTGCATAAGAATTGTTCAGACCAAGCACAGTGGATACGAGTCTAAGGTTAACAGAGTCACAGGCATGAAATATGACAGCTTTAAAACTTTGCTTACAGATTGTTTCATCGCGTGACCTGATCATTTCCTGCTGAATTCTAAGAATACAATGAAATATGGCCAGAAGTGCCGACAAGGACCTTGATGTGGCCAGAGGGGTTCCAGGATGAAAGGGCTGCTGTTTCAGTTGGTGAGATCTGCGAAGACCATTTATCAGAGGCCGGAATGAAGGGAGGAGGCTGCCCTCAGACGAAAGCATTCCAGGGAGAGGGAACAAGGAGCACAAAGACTGGAACAGACGTCAGCGCTTTGAGTGGCTGTAAAGATAACATGCTTAGGTCGGAGTAAACACCCCTGAGAGTGGCAGCTGCTGAGGTTACAGATGTGGTCAGGGGCCTGATGTCATGGGCCTCTACAAGGACTTAGGTTTTCAGCGGGATTAGAAGCCACCACTGGTGTTTTAAGCATAAGAATAACGTGGTGGGATTTATTATTTTAGATACGACCTCAGCTGTGGTGCAGAAAAGGCTAGCAGCATCCAGGGCCAGTTAGGAGGCCGCTGCAGGGAGCTGCACAGGACGAGGGACACTGGGCAGAGTGACTGGAAATGGTTTGGCTCAGGATGCAGGACTTGGGCTTGTGTCACTATCTTATTTTGAGAAAATTTCAGCTTTACAGAATAGTTGCAAGAGTAAAACATCTCTAATATGCATTTCTATCTCTCGTGTCTGCTCATACTCTCAGGCCCACTCTTCTGGCCAGCGCTGTGTGGTACCAGGTTCCGAGTTATTTTTAGGGTTTTAGCATTCTGGCAGAGTGCTTTTTTCTGAGGGTGATTTTTGTCTGGCTTCAGTGAAATGTCACTTTTTTTTCCTTTGTCTTTTCTTTTTTTCCCTTTTTCAGCATAGCATCCACATTCTCCTCTCATGCTCTGTACCATTGGGTTGGCAGTGCCAGTGGAAGCTCTACAGTAACTCTGTGTTTTCTTACAAATCAGTGGCCACGGGGCCGGGGAGATGGCTTAGTGGAATAAGCACTTCCTTGCAAGTGCAAGGGCCTGAGTTCAATCCCTGGTTCCGGGGGGGGGGGGGGGGAATCAGTGGCCATTACAGTTGGAAGCACGGCCACCTGAGCACTTATTAGGACTCCTTATGGGTCTTGTGCTTGTTTTTTCAGTACACGGCTTTGTTTTGCATTCAGGATCTTTCAATGTGATGGTATTGGCAGGAGGAGGGCTGTGATGTGGCAAGAAAGCCCTCTGTCAGGTGCCAGGGCCTCACTGTTAGACTGTCCAGTCTCCAAAATGGTGAGAAAACAATTCCGTTCTTAGTAAGTCGTCCAGTCTCAGATGTTATCATAGCCCAAAACGGATGAAGATGGAGACGTGGCAAGAGCATGCATTCAGAGAATGCTGGAGCTCTCAGGAGTGACTTTAGATAAAAGAAATGTGCATGTGTTGATGTCTCAGTTACTCTCCTCTTGTTGCTGGGACAAATACCCGACACCCTAAATGAAGGAAGGAAAGTTTGTTTAGCTCACAGTTACTGGAGGTTTTAGTCCATACTCAGCTGGCCCCAGGGCAGATGGCATAGGGCAGAGAACAATCATGGCAGCAGCAAAAAGCAGAGAGCAAAATGGAGGAGCAGCAGCAACAGTGGCAACAGAGAAGTCTGCCTCTCTCAAATTGCATTCAGGCTCTCCGCCCCAGGCTGGGTGTAGCACTCACACCCATAATCCCAGCAGTACTAAGACCCATAATTCCAGTGGATCATGACTTAATCTCAAACTCTACAAGTCCCCACTCCATGACTGCATAAGGCTTTGGGGGGGACAACTAGACACAAACTGTAACAGTTGACAATTGGAATGCAGAGTGGGAAAAGGAATAGTTGAGGGTGCTTCTCAAATTACTGGCTGAACAAATGGGTCAGAGGTGACACCTCACTTAGAAGGGACGAAGGAAGCTATGGGAAGACAGCTGGCACAGAGACAGTTTGGCTTAGCTTGAGATACTTTTGACACATCCAAGTGGCGATGCGGTAGACATCCAAGTCAGGATGCAGTGACAGGGGAGGCGACGACACTTGTACTTATTTTTTGCTAAGAGCATTTTTTTTTTTTTAAATTTTATTTATATATATGTGTGTGTGTGTGTGTGTGTGGCCAGCTCAGCCCACCAAGGGGCGGGGCTGGCTGGCATGTGGTGCTGGGGGATTGAACCGCAGTCCCTGTGCTTTGCTAAGCTTGTTCTAAGTAGGTGCTTTAGACCACTGAGCCATCTCACCAGCCCCAAAAAATGCAGAAGGTTTTTTTTTTTTTTTTTTTTTTTTGGAGCTCCCCATTGACCTGCAGCAGCACTGGTCTGGGTTGCCTTGAGTATGTGGGAATGGAACCACCACTCAAAGAAACTGACTGCCTCGCTAAGAGCATTTTGGAAACAAATGTTTCTGATTGATTTTATTTGTGGATTTCTTTGAGATAGAGTCTTGCTATGTAGCCCAGGCTGGCCTCCAGCTCACAGCAATTCTCCCATCTCAGCCTTCCGAGGGATGAAAATACAGACAAGGGCCTGCCTGGCAAGCACAAAGTCTGGAGTCCAATCCCTGGTACTGCAAAAAAAAAAAAAAAAAAAGGACTTCAGCTGAGACATGGTGTGTTTGCAAAACTGTTTCCCAGTTGTGTCCTCTTCACATTAGTGGATAATTAATATCATTTGAAAGACTCAAGTGTTAAATAAGTTTAAAAAAATCTAAGGGCTATATTGTCCTGATAAATTTAGGTACAGAGAAAAGCAGAAAAAATTAAAATCACATGCAGCCCTGCCATGTGGGCAGAAACAACTACTACCTGGGTCTTTGCAAGAGTGCTGGGACCCAAGTTGCACTAACCCCGCAGCTGTAGCTGGAGCATTTTATCTTTAGCTTCATTGTGTTTCCCTTGGCCAAAAATGCACTAAATGATCTCCAGGTTATGAACATTCAGCCAGTGATGGTGAGGCAGAGCCACTCACGATGCACACCTGACTTCTGTGCCCTACTTGGGGGTGCTGGCACAGCCACTTTGCCTACTGCAGTGGGGACTCGGGCAGCAGGTCGGAGCCCAGTAGAACCTGGTCCCTGCTGGCCGAGACATCCCAAGGGAAGGGAGAGAATAGTGACCATGCTAGCTGGGATATTCTTGAACTGTACTGTTTTCAAGCCAATTCATAATTGATACCAAGGAAAAGCATTGTGTAGCCATGAACATATTCTATACTGAAGACATAAAGTACATTTGAAACCTCATGAAAAAATAACTTCTACTGGTTTTTTGGCCTATGCTATTCCAGATTTTTATATAAGCTTACAAATCCAGATAAACAACAATCAGATCAGCATAGGGACGGAGCACAAACTCCTCAGGTGCTACTTATTAAATCATGATTTTTGTGTTTTCATCTGAGACAATCAGGGACTTAAGAAGTTGCTTTTACTAAGACAGACGCCTTTACTTGGGCCTGCACTTGGCCCACAGATGACTAAAAGCAGAACAAAACTTGACCTTCATTTTGTGTCTATGTTCTTTAATACCATAAAATTTGGGGGCAGATCCTTGCTCAGTTCTGTCAGTGTACATCTGAAAACTCTCCAAGGTTGCTCCTTACCCTACCTAAACTATCTTACCCCCCTCAAGATGAGGGCATCAAAATAAGATAGCATTCAACTATCAATGGGCTCTCAGAACTCCCCAGTTATTGTCCTGACCTAAACCCAAGAACACTGTGGGTTCCAACAGTCTCTACCAACTGCCCCAACAAAGGCACCTCATGAAAACCAGATTGCTGGGGTTGGGGCGATAGCTCAGTAGAATAAGCCCTTGCCTGGCAAGCACAATGGCCTGAGTTCAAACAGATTGCCCTCAGTTGATGAGATCTGAGCCCCCTGCAAACCAGCACTGAGGTAACGATCAGCAAAGGCCCTCGCCCACCGACAACAAAGCCCTAGAAGCTGGCCCCCTTCCTCTGTTGGCAGACTGTCTGATCCTTGATGAATTCGTAGTATGTAAAAACAACAAAAAAAAATGTATTACTCCTTGGCTTTACCTTTCTGCTTAATGATCTCAAGAGAATTAATGTAAGGCAACTTCATATGCATCTCTGTAAATTTTGATCAGAGAGATACAAGAAAATTCTGTAGTATTTTGGAGCAATTTTCACTGACTTCATTGTATTTGAAGTTTTGCCAAAATGAAGAGGTAAGACACATGCCTTGGGGCAGGGCTACAGTGCTACGGCATGATTCTTGGATTTCGTTTAAGACCAGGAAGCAGTTCTGGGAATCAAAGACCAGCTGGCCTTCCTCCTTAAGGACCACACAGCAGGTGGGGTGGAGTGGGTGAAAACCCAGAGCGAGCTTCCTCATCCCGTGCCCACCCCAGTGGAACTGTGTGTCGCGGGTGTGCTCCCCACGCCGGGCCTTCCTGAAACTTTCTTTGAGGGGTTTCAGAAAACAGCCTTTGGGTATGTGTTCAAAGGTAAGATTTATCCAATTTGTTTCATATTGATGAGAATTGTTTTGGGAACTAGAGTTAGACCATTTCTAATCTCAATCAATTCCCTGCACTCTGAGAGGCTTACTTGGAAAGGATGTGAGGACTGAGTTCAGCCTCGACAACTTAGTGACTCCGGTAGACCTTGTCTCAAAAAATTAAAAAAGGGCTGGGAATGTAGCTCATTGAACTGCACCCTGTCTGAGTGGATGACATATAGCAAGAGTGATTTTTAAGGAGAAAAATAAGTGTAAATGGCAGTGATATAGAAAATGCCTGTTTTATTTTATATTTATTTTTATTTTATTTTTTGGCGGAACCAGGGATTGAACTCAGGCCCTTGCTCTTGCCAGGGAAGCGCGTATTCCACTGAGCCATCTCCCCAGCCTGAAAATTCCTGTTGTAAAACATGGCAACTTAGCTTCTTTTTTACTGCAAAGATTTTCCTTGTGTGTTTAAAGTCAGCTATTCTTTCAAGTGATATTTGATGTTCCGTGGCTTTTAAAATCATGGATTAAAAAGGAGATGTCAGGGAATATCGTGCTGCAACCCCAAGAGCCACCTCTTGTTGGCTGCTGCCCGTACCTGTAGCAAGCAGTCTCTGTGAATTTGGACTTTCTCATTTCATCATAATAAGTGAGGTCTTAGAGTCATATGGAA